TCCTTTTTCCTCAGACTGAAAGCTTCTGAGTCCTACTCCAGAATGAATCTCAGCTGAACTGTGCTGCTCAAAACCTAAAAGCTTAACCAGCCAAATGTTTCTAGTTTCTGGTCTTCATGCCTTATATATCTTTCTGCTTTCTGCCATCACTCCCTAGGATTAAAGGCATGTGTCACCATGTTTGCCTGTATCCTTGTGGCCTAGAACTCACAGAGATCCAGACAAATTTCTGCCTCTGGAATGCTAGGATTAAAGGTGTGTGTGCCACCATTTTCTAGCCTTTGTATCTAGTGGCTGTTCTGTCTCTGACCCCAGATAAGTTTATTAGAGTGCACAATATTTTGGGGAACACAATACCACCACACTTGTATCTATCACTTTAATTATATTCACCTAATCAGGTAACGTGTCTTACTGATAAAAAGATCCATGGAATGTTGAGAACTCTAGGGATACTTATGATTTTCAATCTTTGTTTGATAGATCTGCAAACTGAGAACCCACAGAAGTAGCACCATGGAAGTCATGCCATGATTCAAAAAACAAAGAAAGAAAGTCACATGGGGCTGGGACCTTTCTGAGCAGCATTTTGCACGCACCCTGCATGTCCAGTGACACTTGTTCCCCATGAGGTCTGCCACCCTGCCAGCCCAGGCCAGCCCAGGCATGCTCCGCCTCGAAGCTGTACTATTGTAAACACACCCTCACATCTTCCTTTTTGCCCTCCATTCACCATTATCTTCTTTGCATGCTCAAAACTATATTCATTCACCATTCCTTACAGAGTCAGTTCTGAACTATTTAGGTTCAGCTAACAGAGACTACGACTTTATTGCTTACGAGTTTCTGTTCTATGGAGATTGCCACAGATGGGAAATTTGAGACTTGAGAAGACCAGGGTCATAAATCTAGTAAATGGTGAACTCAAGACTCAAACCAGGTTCTCTGACTTCAAGTGCAGGTCAGTGGCCCACTTTCGCATTGTGTCTCTTCATATTGGGACAGACTTAGGCTTTCTCATGGAACATGATTTGTGTTCTACAACATCTGTTTTTCCCTTGTATTAATCCATCTGCCTTGCGAGTTCCTCCCTGTACAATCCCACCTGTCAACCATCAGAAATAACATCAACGACACTCCTACCAAAGGTCTCCCCTAGTGCCCCAGCTAGAGTGACTCACTCTGGATTCTATGATTCCATTAAATTTTAGTTCCATTATTTTGATTTTATCAAAAGCTACATGACATTATGGCTACTTGCATCTACGTCCTTTCCCCATGTCTTATTAAGAAGTATTTGAAAGGTACATTTCAAAGTCTGCTTTCCCTCATAGTGCCATACATGCACGTGCTAAGTACTTAGTGAATTGAAAGCAATCAGTACTTTCCTGTAGACAATTCCTTTGAGTGCTTTGGCTAAGGTTGAACTCATTCTTCAGTTCTTTCCTCTTTGAGGTTTGGTTTTTTTCATCAGTGATGCACATATTCCTTTGGTTAAAATCATAGCAGCATGCACCGCCATCACTTCTCATTTTCCATTCATGGTGAATTTAGGAAGAATCTGAAAAGGCTTGTAATTCTCACAGTATGCTGAAGAACCTCCATGAGGGAGCCTAGAAAGCTGCTCCAATTAGCCTTGGATACTGTTGTCATAAATATGGCTACTAAACAGAAGAACATGGCAGACCCCTCACTGATGGGCGTAGTCAAATTCCATGGGGTGAAAATATTCTAACACAATAAAATAGTGAAATAAATCAATTTGATTCTTGTTAGGCTTTGCCTCTGGTTTTACAGTCTAGATTTTTGATTTTTTTAGTGATTTATTTTTCAGTGGCAGACTGAACCCTGGTCCTCACTCACACTAGGCAAGCATTCTGTCACGGAATTGTCTGCAGTCCTTTCATTACTTTCTATTTTGAGATAGGATCTAAGTTGCCCAGGTTGGTTTTGAACTTGCTCTGTAGCCTAGATCGGCCTCAAGCTTCTGAGCTTCTTGATTCAGTCTCACAAATATCTGGGATTACAGGTTTGTGGCAACAGGTTAAGGAGAATTCTTACTTTTCAAGAGGACTTTTGAGCTACTAGGAAAACTCAGGAAGTTGCAACCACTCACATACTCCTGTGTTAGTTTGTTGGAGCTGTTTACCACAGACAGAGAGGCTTTAACAACAGAAATTCATTTGTGTACATTTCTGGAAGCTAGAAATACACATCCAAAGGGCAGACAGGGCTGTTTTCTTCTGGAGGACTCTTCAGTTAGTCGATGGTGGTCTTTTCTGTCTTCCCATGGTCTTCCTTTATGCATTTGTGACCTAATTGACTACAAAGACTCTAGCCATATTGGATTTGGAAGACCACCCATCTGACCTCATTTTATCCCATTTGCCTTTCCAATGGCTTTATGTCTGAACTTTCTGGGTAGCTAGGAGTTAGAAGTTCAGCATGTGAATTTGATGGAGATGATACAGTTCAACCCAGAACACTAAGCTAAGAATAGTTGATATAGAACTTTTGTTGTTATTGTTTTAAGATAGGGTCTTTATAAAGTCCAAACTGGCCTCTAATTCATGATCCTCCTGCCTCCCCATTTCAAATGCCAGCTAAATGTACTGAAGATTTCCCATTGCTTCTCTTTATTCCTCATATTGAAGTTAGTCCTTCCTGGGCAGTGAGCCTTGCACTAGGTATCTCAATATATGGATATCTCAAATGTGGACTACAGGGAGATGCGGAAGTTTAAACAAGTCAAAGAAATTACTTATTACTGCAAGAATAGTGCCCACACATCTAGATTTTCAGTCTTCCCACGTGGTAATATCTAAAGCCCACCAACGCGCATCAGAACCACCTTAGTGCTGTTTCCAAATTCCTAGGTACTGCCCTTTACTAACTAGATAATATTTTAAGGAAATAAGGTTCATCTCCTTATGTGCAAAGCAGAGGAAATAACAGCACCGGAGGGCTTAAGTGAGATGTCAAGAGCTTATTCTTGACAGTCCGAGAGTGCAATATGAGTTTGTGCTGGCATCAAAGTACAAGAAAGGTGGGCAGCACATTTTTTTTTGTTTCCCGTGCACATTGCAGGGTGGTTGAAACTCACTAGCGCACAGAGAAACGCAGTAGACGTAAGAAGTTTGGAAGGCCCAGCTGGCTGCCTTCATCTGCATCAAGCCAGCTACCACTGTGTGTAGCAAGCCTCTAAAGCAAAACGCTGGCAGGAGGACAGAAGCAATGACCCCCTTACTGTAGTGGGTAGCCATTCCAATCTTGATCCGGAAGTTCCAACCCCCACTGAGGCTTGGGTAACTGTCACGCCTACAAGGCGGGGCCAAGAGAGAACTCTGAAGACCCTGAAGACCCGAGATCCGGTGCTGGTTCCTGGACCCTGGACGCTGGAGGTAGACGGAGCAGAGTTCTTCAGAGAACACAGGGGGACTGCGCTCTGTCTTTCCCAGACCCTGCAACCTACCTATCCTACCACTTTTAAGTTACGCCACTAAATAAACCTCCCTTTTAACTACGTGGAGTGGCCTTAATAATTTCACCAATACCTTACGCTGAGCACTCTCAACAGGGCACAGGAAGCCTCCATAGTGGACAGGCGCCAGTAAGAGCTATATGCACACTGGTAGACGCTGTCTGCTCCATCACTAGCAAGCAAGATATCATTCTTTATGCAGGTTAAGACAGCTGTCAAGATACGGGCCTGGGAAGAATCTCCTGTTGGGTTAATTTACCCAAGTCTTTCCATTTGTGAAAGGCAGAAATGATAAAATCTAACTAAAATATTCAGCTGTGATCTTAAGGTTGTCTGTTGGTGAAAAAGGTTTGCCAGAGATAAGCTGGTGCTCTTAATAAGGACATATACCTAACTTCAAAACGTCAGCTTATTCAGTGCACAGGGCACAGTTAAACGCTATCATCTGTTACATGGCTTTTCAGTCACGTGATTCACATTCAGTCTTTATGTGTTTTATATCATTCACTTTTGTTGAATTATAAAGGAAATGCATGATTTATTTTGAAGGACACTTTCAATTTTAAAAGACTTATATTATCATAACAAATACTTGTGGCTGTCTATTGAGTTGACAAATAGTCTCCCACGAAAACTGTCACCTTACATTGGTGTCCTAAGGTAGTGGTTGGCAGAAGTAATCAAAGAGGAAAAAAATGTGATCATTAAATACAAATGCCCAGTAAGCATTTGTAGCAATAATCAACTTTGGCAATAAAATGCTACAGTAACCAGCCCCTGCCCCCAATGGGGATCTAATAAACACACCGCTTTATGTATTGCTAAGTACCAGGAAAGTAGGCTTTCTCTCTCTCTCTCTCTCTCTCTCTCTCTCTCTCTCTCTCT